CGGCGCGGCCCGTGCCGCCCCCCCGGCCCCGAGGGAGCGCCTGAGACGGCAGCCGTGAGGCGTTCTTCGCTTCTGAAGTCCTGGAGCCGCTTTAAGACGATAAAAACCATCCATGGGGCTCAAAATAGCAGTGATGATGCGAAGGAAGTTGTAAGTTTATATAAGCAAGACTAGTTGACAAAATCCTGCTATAGATACCGGTCCATTTACTTACCGAAGACATGAAGCAAGGCGCACTGCTCTGGTTTCCATCACTCCCACCTAGAGCGGAGTAGGAAGGAACGCAACTCTTGTTATCCAAGGACATTTCCATAAAAAGACAGACTGCTATAAGTTTGAGAATTTATAGTAAAAACTGTTAAAAGCTGAGTACCGATTCAGCGATACATTGAAACTTCCAGATGATCTCTAAAAAATAACGTTATCCTTGCAACTCCATGCCACTGCCTTACATAGTTTTATCTGTTTGACTGTCTTTATCACAAACGCAGGAGGTAATTGGAACAGTGTTGCTCAACCTTCCTCAAACAAACAATAACAATACATCTGCCAAAATAAAGTCTAGGGTATAGAAGCAAGCATTTCTGGGAAATGTCGGTCGAAAGGCAAGCCAAACACTTTCGGATAAATATTCAGGTATGCTTAAGTTCCTCAAAAGTATACCATTACTTGGAACCCTTTGACAAGAATCCAGAAGAACCAAAAAGTCTCGTTTTCCCCTTATTTTTTTTTCTAATGTGGCCAAGAGAGATTAACATTGCACAAATCAGAAGTCTTAGCTGATGTATCATTTAAGATTTATATTATAACATGAAGAGTTCAGGTTTTAATAGCTATATTCCAAAGCAATGTTCAAGTGGTAGTGGTTACTAAGAGCTAACTACTGCTGTTCATTGCTGCAGTATATAGAGTTCTCACAGAGGTTCGAAACTTTCAGAGCAAGAAATGCATCCTATTTGATATGATCTCTTGATTATTCTCTACCCTCATTCACCAAGATCAGTATCATCAATTGCTTGCATGGACTGGAATTTCAGATCTGAATTAAATTCCTCATTCTGAGAGCATTCAAAGGCATAAGGGGAAAAAAAAGATTTAACTGAAAGGCAAAGTGCCTTATTTATTTATTTATTTTTTTTAACTTGCATGATACAGAACTTCTGACTAATGGCAGATCTGCACCACTGAGTAGGAGTCTTCCCTGTGTTCTTTTTATTTTAATACCTCTTGGTTGTTGTATTGAGAGGCAACGAACTCAACACAAGTTGAAGTAAGGATGAAACAATGAATTTCTAAACATCCTTTCTTTGCCATTCAGGATTTTACAGACCTCAGGCTTCCCTCTAGGAGATGGCTTTTTTCTAGAAAGAGTCTTAGCTTACTTGGTGATTTCTTTTACATACCTTTATCTTCCTTGCCAACCTCTGAGTCTTTCCAGTTCTACTAAATATTAAGATTGGAGAGGCTAAAACTGCACACAATAGTTAAAATCCTACTTTCCTTCTTCCTGGATGAAGCAATGGAAGAGGGTTTTTTTTTTTGCTTGTTTTTAAATCAGGGTGTTAAATAGCGGCATTGGCTACAATGATTATAATGTAACAGTAACTCAAAATCCCCTACCAGTCCAAATGTAGCTGTATTCATCCAGAATGTATCCTTCAGTTTTGGAGAGTTCATTCACAGACAATAAGAAGTCTTAGATCTTTTGAATGCTGTCTTCTCCTAGATCTCCGATGCAGAAGTTATTTATTTCACTCGTAGAAGACTTACAGTAAACGTCACTAACAAATTTCTAAGTTATTGTAGCAGATTTAGCCGATTTCCCACATAGAGGAATGGGACTGAGCAAGGTCTTCGATCAACTTTGCAAATCAGATATTGACACACACCTGCAGAAACATCACCTACTTCATATGCATTCCACATTGCTAGCTTACTTGGAAAAGTGACTGAGCTCTTGCTATGACACTTTGGCAAAACAAACCATATGAGAATTACCATACCAGAATAGAGGTCCATTCAGGATCTTTCTTCCGTTGGCACTAACTCAGCAGGCAAAAGTGCAAGAAACAAGGAGATCAAATACCCGTTCAAAAACTTTATTCTTAAATTGCTGTCTCCTGTGCTCTGAAGGATGGAGATTTATATCCCTGTCAAATCTTATTTTACTAATACTCCTCTGGACCTTCTGGTTGTCAGTATATATCATCCATCTCTTTTAGGGGTTAGCTCATTTCTAATGGCTTCAGAGGCTTTAATATATAGAAAAAAAATCCTTGTAGTTTACATTTTCTTATCTTTAATTTAATAAATGACCTTTTTCCATCCTTTCTAAATTCTCCCCCCTTTCTCTCATCCATCCATATTTTTAGAAAGAGCAGGAATATATTCTAAGATGCTTTTTATTCCAGTGAACATTGTTATGAGTGTGTGGCTTTAGCCCATATGAGTTGCTTTTAAAGATTATCTTTAAAGTACCGATTCACTATGTGTTAGTTGTGACATTTCAAACAGAGACAGCTTAGTATGAGTTTTGTAAATTAGAATAAATAATAATTATTTGCGTAATCTGTTTCCAAATGCAGACACTTCTGCAATCTGTGCAGCCAAACAATACCTGAACCCTTCTTATCCCCTAAGAAAGAAATGGGGCCCAGGGTGCGAGACCTCTTCTAATCTGCTTTAAAGTCAGCTCTAAATTAATGCCACTACAGAACAGCAGACGTCTCCAAGAGAGTTAGGAGCTATCTTTTCTGACCAATATGGCCTCAAACTGTTTCTTGCCCTGGATTACGCCTAATCCAAATGCATCCTCACAGGCAAAACATTAGAAAAGTTAATCTATACATTACATTATCTTCATGAAATCAACAGGCAATTTCCCCACAAGAGTTAGCTTTATTTTAAAAGAAACTGAAACCAGAAAACAGAAAGCAACAAAGTTACATACAGTGCTGGACAAAATCTGCCATATACGTTTTCCAAGAATGCTTGATTTAGATCCTGATATATCTTCTTCTAAAAGGGTCAAATATCACATTGTTATTTATAAAAAAAATTTAAGTGTCAACAATCTTAATCAGCTCATATTTTGTACTGTTTGGATGGCAGTCGATTGGTAACTTGCCTTTTTCAACTAGTCTTTAACACTGAAAGGAGAATTCAAACAAAAGATAACCAAGTAAGAAGGCCCTAAAGAATACAGTGTCTGTTCTAAAGGCCATATAAAAAAGCTTGGTGGAGAGACTGGCTATAAAGTAAAAATTCCTCAACAACTACATATTATTTCACATTTCAGAAAAAAAAAAAATCGTGAAAAGCCAAGAAATTAGAGAATGAATATAAAAAAAAGCTCACCCTCCCTAAATTATATGAAAGTTCAGATTGAGCCCATTCTTTGTTAAACATCTAGGTAACAGCAGATGAGATTAGTGTCTAGGAATAGACGCAACATCTCTTGTGACTCCAGTCACCAAACTATCTCCAATACAGCAATTTCTGAAGTACAGTGCATAACCTCTGAGGGAAAAAAATAAGGCTGAATCAGAAATTATTTTTGAGAGAGACAGTTTGTTTAAACACAAAAAGGAAAACCATCATGTATGTTAAACAATAACAAAATAGGTATTCCCTATGACCTTGGTATAAGCTGTTTCTGAACCAATAAACTAAGGGCCACACTGAATACTCTTTAAGCTAAAAGCAGCACCTCAAAGGGGCTGAACACCATTCACGATTAGTTAACTCAAAACTGATGCCACGCAGCACTAGGGCACTAAGGGACCCTTTATTTCCACGTAAAGGATGGAAGTTATAGGAGTTCCATACACAAAGAAGTGAATGTGCATAACGACGTAGCGTAGGATAGTTATATTGCCTTAAGAGCTCTGCTAAGTACACTTAATTTTCCAATTTGAAGGAAAAGTCTATTCTAATATAGAAAGCTTCAGACAAAACTTAGCAATTGCAGAGTAATTTTAAAAATACATCCAGTTCTACATCCTCCTGCATATATCTAATCACATCCAATAGCTAAAAAACTACATGTTTTTAACAACAAGATGGAGTATTAGAATAGGATTTTCACAACCATACACATACTACCAAATGTTCACCCATTTGTCAGAGGATAACATTAAAGAATTCATAAAGCGTTATGGCAACAAGATGACAATGCACATAAATGCTGCGTGTTCTGAAAGGTATTCAGTTTTAATTATCATGAATTGCTACCATCTATCATACCTCATTCTATGCAAGATACCAGGCCAGCTACCAATCCATAAACAATAATGTTTCATATACTTCATAGAGTAGCTTAAAACACATCATGATATGAAATAATTTGTATTACATAGTAATTTAATCCCTGGCCACAGGGCTAATGTTGGACAAAGTCTGGAAACTTTTTTCCAATTTGAATTACATACGTTAACTTTGCCACACACCACAGCACTAATGCATGTATTACTTCAGACATGCTCTAATTTAAAATTAAAACAAAAAGCTGTTGCAAAAATACATGTCACCAATGTGGAACACATTCAAGATTGTATAAAAAGTACTGAACTGATATCCCAAAACAGGTATATTTAAGCAGTACATAAGGAAAGATTAGTTTTAATATGAAACAGTCATTTAAGTCACATACAACATGATAAGAAGCATGACTTCCTTTTTAAAAAATGTTACACCAAAACTTTTACGGGCAGGCAATGTTTATATATAAAATGAAAAGGATATATTTTATGCAGATGTGTATTGTCTGTATTAAGTTGGAAGAAAGAAAAATGTTGAAGAGGTGCTACATTTGAACACCACTGATCTTGCAAAAATCTCAAACCACAAAAAGCATTTTACCTAAGAATATCTAAAAAAGTCATGGGCCCAGAACTGCAAACACTTTGAAAAGTTCTTGGCTTTGTGCATGCACTTCTACTGACTTCATTAAGAAGTCTCCCATGCTTGAAGTTAAGCCTGAAAGTGTGTTTACAAAATTAGTGCTTAGTCAAAAACAAAACAAAACAACCACCCAGAGGTGACAAAGTATGTTCCTGTTTGTACAACCCAAAACATAATAACAAAATTATATTTTTGTTTTAAATAGAGCAAACTTTTATCATATTACCTTTTGCGTCTTCAGTATCTTTCATCTGAAGATCTCAAATAATAATTAAGCCTCTAAACACCCTTGGGAAGTAAGCATTAGTCCAATCTTACGAAAGAACAGACTGAGGCACAAAGAGTTAACTTATTTGCCTCAAGCTGCACAAGGGATCAGTAAAACAGCCAGAAACAGGATTTTTGATACCCAGTCTCTAGCCTATAGGCAGCACTGCCACTTAATTCTGACACTAATAACAAAATAAGTATTTTAAAAGGATAAATTACATATCTTCTTATTTAAGACTGGTCTCTGGCAAAAAGCAAGTTTGCCAGTATTAAGGGCTGTTCAGTCCAGTCTATAGCTGTTTATTTCAGCCTAGGGAGAATAGGGTGGAGGTGGGAAGGAGTTTGGGCGGTATAGGCTACACTTCCAAGCATGACAAAGAGGTTTTTAAAAAGGACACAGGCATTTCCCACAAAAATCTTCAGGTTTGTAAGATTTACAAAATCTTTGCAATATTTTGGTGTGCAGCACCAGTGCACTCTAAATCACTAATAACAAAAGAATCACATGATAGCTCAATACAAGTTGTTTCATGTAGCGTATTATAAAAACTCACCTATTCTAATCAGCCCCCCCCCCAGCAACCCTTCTATAACTAATTTCTAATTCTACCCAGCTGACATTTTCCTATTACCTTACTAATAAAACAAGATTGCTGTTTTTCCTGTGCATACTTGAACTACTACTAGTCAATACATCCAGAGAAAAAAACCAAAGTGTAATTCTCTCTCTAGGTATAGAATCCAGGTATACCAAGAGCATATCAGTAGGGCAAGCATATTGGCTAGATGATTTTTTGAGGTCCTATTCAGTCCTTTTTCTATGATCAGTGCTGTAAGAAGTTTTGATTTGTTTTATTTGATATTTTAAAATTGGCATTTACTAATGCCTTGAATTTGTAAGTTAATATATGCAGAAAATTCACTGGGTTACAAACCCAACATGGTACCAGTTTAGAAAAACTGAAATAATTTGTTAGAATAACTTTCACAAATACACAATTTAGGCCTTATAAAATTATATTCTAGTAGATTTTTTTTTTTAAGTTCATAAGAACACTGTATTTGTATTCTAATGTTTTGCTAACTAATATAGAAAGCACTTGCCTAACTTGACAGAGGATTGAGGGAAAAGATTTCAAGAAACACATGGCTATTTTAAATATAGCGTCTGCTCCGAAATGTTAAAACATTAATTCAACTTCTGAGAACAAATGCCCTGAAACATCTTCTCACGTTAGGAATTGGGAGCAGTGGTGTAGGGTATTGTGAACAGCATGCTTGGATAATAGTATCATCACCAAATCTTTTCTTGGATTTTCAAACACTGAGAAAAATTCTGATTTGATTTACATTGCTGTATTTCGGAACCAGCTCCATAAGCTTCACAGTGCAAATTGTTGCAACAGAAATAAAATTATTTCCCACAGGAACAAACTTATCTAAACAAGGTTTGGTTTAATTTCTACTTTAGATACCAAAAGGAAATTCTAACTGAAGTCCGTCAGTTACTAGGAAAACTGCTGAAGATATTTCCTCCGAGTTTGTTTCTTGGATTCTCTCTCTCTCTCTCTCTTTTTTCTTTTTTTAAAACATAACACCTCTAACAAAACAAAACTAAGTTTAATCTCTGTACTAAACAAAGCAAACAGTGCTGAAAACAGAAGCCCTGAATCTGCATTACACTTTCTTTATGTCTCCGTACAGGAAATCCTCAAGATGTGAATTGTCTCATTCACACTTTGGATATTATTTCCTCTTTCCTGATGAAAAGTAAGACACAAATGAGGGGGATACTGCACTTAATATTTATCTGGTAAAAGATGGTATATAAAACTTCTCAATATTAAAATAAAAGGGGGGACCAGGGTTATGTACATCCGCAGAAGAAGAAATGTATCTCCCAGGAAAGTTTATTACTACAGTAGAGCCCATTTAATTCAAACACAACGGTGAACTGCCAAGCAGTTCTTATTTTTCAATCATTATCATAGCTTACTATAAAAACGTACCTTTATATATACATTTGTATTCTGTATAAGTTCTTACATTACTCATCACCACATATCTGAACACTTTCTATCACATTAAGGAATGTGACTAGTACCTCTAATGTTTGCCATATGATTTAGTTTTTAAATGATTGGCAATTAAAACCTCCCATCACAGTGGTGAGTATTATGAGCAGAGTCTGTTATTAGAGGACCACCATCTAAGTAAAAAAAACAAAAAACAAACAAAAAAACCCACACACCTCCAAAAAAAAAATTCACAAAAACGTCTTTCTACAGAAAAATTCATTTTCAATTGCATGTACAGCTTTACCAAACTAGCTGCTTAGGCTAAAATGTTCAAGGCTAGATGCTTACCTACATTAACAAACAAAAAAACTAAAACAAACCAACAAATAAACAAAAAATCAGTTATTTGAGATCAAGAATAACATCAAATTACCCATATTAAAAGAGAATTCTTGAATTCTTGAACATGAAGCTCTAGTGCCTTTCATGCTTTTTAGTAGGATTTCAAGTCTAGCAAAGAAGCTAAACTTCCAATTACTCACCCATGATACCCAGTAAACTCGCATCTCGTAATGTGAACTGTTATTTTTCTTCACCCTAGATTTTTCTTGTTTTTCCCCAAAACTGAAAAACTGGCTGAGGCAGTGGTGGGATTTCAGTTTTAAGACCTTGCTGGCCAAATTATCTTTCAGGTCAGTCTGTGCTGAGCACACTCCATTCCTTCACACTCTTCTTCACGCCAAGTAGACTGTGCAAGCTCAGGATGACTGAGCAGGCTCTAGTTTAAAGCCCTAGGAGGTGGGCAGGACTTTCCCTATTCACAATTCTTGGGCAGCACGGAGGCTGGAGACTAGAGCCGTCAATGAGAAAGGAGTCAGTTGAACAGTGACGACAGAAGCCGAGACTGTATGCATATGCTTAAGATAAATGAATTAAGGTTACATATGCAACCCGAGTTTTGGTATTCTCTAGATTCAAAGCATTGGACTTGTAAGCTTGCTCTTTTCTGACTTTCTAAATGCCAACATAGTTTGTAACTATTTCCAAGTAGTGCAAGACCTTGCAAGACTCCTCAGCAATTATTTGCTAAGAAGTCAAAAGAGCTCATTGCCTTTTCAAGGAAATATAAAGGTGAGAGTTAGTGGGCTTCATTGTATTGCTAAGCATGAAGTTAAATTTAAAAATAATGTTAATGCATTACTGAAAAAACAACAACAAAAACGGAGAGAGAGATAAAATACACACAAAGTCCTCTGTATTTACCCTAAAATAAAAACTACTAGTACAGCACATTCCTCCATGTCACCTCCACTACTTTCAAAGAAAGGTTAGCAAGAATATCAGTAATGGACATTCACCAATAATAATTAAAAAAAAGTAATGAGCACCTGCAAGTATAGTACCATCAAAACCGAGTGCTAAAGGCTAGCTTTAGTTAACACACTAACACTAGTGAATAGAGGCTATTCACACAGGCACGTTTCTGCCTTCAATAACATTTTGAATGCACATCCTCCTTCTGATCAGATGTCAGTTATGTTCTACGGGATCAAGTGTTTTTTTGTTTCTGATTAAACTATAAAACATTTGCACACCTAAAACTAAGAGTACTAAAACTGAGATGCAAGTTTGAGTGAAAACAGATCAAAGAAGAAAAGATACTAGCAATCAAATAGAACTGATTGTCTGGAGAAAGTGAAATACTCAATTTGTAACCAAACCTTTGTAACAAGTATTTCAGCCACTACCACCGATTCACGTTGCTAGCCATCCGTATTCAATGCAGGTGGCCCTGCAGTTTCTCTTGTGCGCATTAACTGGACATCCTTGTCAGCCATACATGTATCACAACCCCATACTGCTGATGCTTCTGCTGTAAGAAGGCCATAAGCTGACTCAGTCATGCCTGTGCAGATTCGATGAAACCATTTTTGACAAGAGGCTTCACATAAGATGGCATCCTGGTCATCGTTAACTTCATGTGTACAAATTCCACATGGATAGACTGGTTCAGAGGACGAGTGACCATGACGATTGGGATGAAGGGGCGTTTTACTGCTCTTTTCAGAGTTGCATCCTTCAGCGGTACCTCGAGGCTGGCGGGACTTACTCTGAGTCCCATTTGAATGGCCAGCGTTAGTGTTATCAGCACTATTAGAATGGCTGCTATCCTGATTTACCACATTGTTTCGAGTAACATTTTTTAGGTCACTGTTACCTTGACTCACAATGTCCTCTGTCCTGTGATGATGCTGATGAGTAGCAGTGTTCTGGCTGGATGCTTTGCTTGCACCTTGACTAAAGTCTTGCTTTTGTGCTGATGATTTTGTCTGGTTGTAAGAGTTTGGTGGAGGAACGAAAGAATGGTTTGACTCTAGCTGAGAATTTGGGAAATTTGGATTATTTCCAGGACCAAAGTTAGATGGCACATCAGGGTGAGGTATCTGACTAGAATGACCAAAGTTCTCACCAGGATTTGGTCTGAAATGTTGTCCAGGAATACTGACGTTTTGATTTATCTGACCACTACTATAAGGTGGTTGATTTCCAAAACCTGGATTATCATGTGGACCAAAGCTGAAAGAGTGGGGTCGACTAAAGCCCATTCCCACAGGGTTTTGAGGAAGAGGGTGTGGCTGGTTTCTGAGAGAGTAAGAACCACCATATGGCGAGGACACTCTGGGCAGCATGTGAGGTGGCATTCTGAAAGTGTTATAGCCTCCAAAGCCAGGATAACCAGGACTACTAAAATATGGATTTCCTGAAGGAAGTGGTTTGTAAGACACAGTATTATAGTTGTCATCAAATGGATTTGCAGCTACAAGGTGGTCAGAACTTGGATTCGGCGGTGGAGCATATTCAGATGGAGGAGGAAATGATGATCCCTAAAAATATTTTAAATAACACTTTAATTAGTTTTTATACGTCCCTGCAAGAAGACCAACCACAAAGGCCCTGGATTAGTAGCACTACTGTTGAGAGAACCATTCAGCTGTTATGTAAAACTCACCACTGTACGCTGCCAGGCTATCTGAAATTTCAGTAGGGAAGCAAGAGAGAAGTTTGGGCCCCAGATAACATAGTGATTTATAGTAATGTCAGTATTTTAAGAATTGTGCAGTTGCACAACCATGCTGCTGAAAAATACTACTTAGCGTATAACTTGTGTTTCTTCATCTTTTACTTAAGAAAAGAGGGAACATTGGAAAAAAAAGTGTTATTTAAACATACATGCAGAAAATGTTTCAAATGCTTTAAAGAGCAGATTTGGAGCATTTCCTTAGTTTCATTTGGGGATTAATTTACTAAATATATACCTCTTAAGAGACTGCACTTCGTGAGGATATACAAACTTAAAATACTAATGTTACTATATCTCCCCCCCCACACCTCAAAAAAAAGAAAAAAGTATATAGGAGTCTGCATATGGAAATTTTCTATCTGCTATGTACCAGACAAAGGTGCTCCTATGAGCATTCACTGATTGTCAGGACAGTCTGGAAGGTATCATCAGTAGGTATAAAAATACAGGGAATTTTAGTTACAAGGAACGTTTTGGAGCTCAGAGGCCACTTAAATGTCATCAGAGTGGCTATACAATTGCATCTTATTCTAGACTAGCCTATGGGAATGTCTGGCCAGTTCACTCTCACCTCTGTCCCCGATATTAACTGTACTCGCAGAATGTGCATTTCACCCTAAGTATTGATAACCAAAGACTGAAGAAACAGTTCTTTTTCTCCATGTTTCTACTGTCCTGCAAGTTTTGAACGTAGTAAGAAAAGACAAGAAACTAATCTGCATTCTCTCTACAGTTATTGTCATTCCAGAGCAGAAGAAAGCTCACCAACAGAGATCCAAAAGCCTGAAATTATCTCAGAGCAGGTTTCACCATGACTATTTTAAAATAAAACAAAAATTAAGAAAACAGATCCATATGCAAATAGAATCTGGATAGGCCTAACAGAAAGTGATTCTTTGACCTATGTAAGTAAAATTACTCTCGCTGGGCAGTACAAAATTAACAGACACTCTCAGTCATAAAGCTGAATGAACACAAAGGAAAATTCTGCATTATAGATATCTAATTGCTTTACATGTTTTGTATCGAGGCTTCCTTTTCTGGAAATAGCAGCTATATAGAAATGCCAAATTGTAGAGATTCACTGGAAAGGAGCCAAACCTGCCGCATCGCTTTTGCTTGAACAGCGCTAGGAGAATATGCCAAAAGTTTGGTCAAAACATTAATAAACTGTACAGATCCATTAGCCGTACTAGCCATTACATATATAGGAGTAAGGGTAAGAAGAAAAGTAGTGTCATGGCAGCTACTTATTTTCTGTATATATTTCTACCAATGGCTAAAGAGTCATTAAAATAAAGTCTGTCTCAGAATTAAATCCATATGGTCAAACACAGTCATTTCAGTCTCACTGTGCTCCTCCCTTTATTGGGCTTTGGCAACCTATGGAGATGTAAAATAACTTCAGTGAGAGTAACTTAGGGTTATGAAATTTCATAAAGATGACAAGAGAGTGGAGATTTCAACTTAGTACTTACATTAAAAATATTTTAGTAATGCTTCTGTTTGTGAGAATGGACGGATATTCTGAACAGTGAAAGATAGTCATATTAGCAAACAACATCCAAGTACACTATTTATTAAGAAATCAAAAGAACCGGAGACAATTTACCTGTGTATTTGCTTTGCGCTTTTTCTTATCAGGGCTTCCAAGCTGTACTCCTGGTCCTCCTAACCCATCCAATCCACTGTCACCACCTACAAAATTTCAGTTAGTGCAATACTGCATTAGTTTCCTTATAGACTGTATTTTAAGTCTTTGCCTGTCGTATCAACAGACAGCCGCTACAGATACTGAACTTTCATTATTTCTGGTGCCTTACAAGCCCTCAAGGAGCATACCTAGAGGTAAAAGGTAACATATCTCATATACAGCTCTCTGACGCCATTAGGGCTCTAATGTCCAATTCATGCTCATTACAGTTAGAATAAATATTTCCATTTACTTTGTGTTTATCAGTCCCTCAGTTCTTAACATGTCTTCTTCACTAGTCAAAAGTATTTCTTTTTTGCATAAAACTTTCAAACCAACTGCTTAAAACCATGCCTAAGATTCACCTCCTATTTAATTTACATGGACATAGCATTCATCAACCTCACGCTACCAACCCACAACAGTATGTTACAATATGCTGAGAAGGAAAAACCAAACAGTAGCAGATCAGTGAAGGAAACCCACTGAAAACTTGCCATATTTTTTAGACAGATCTCCAGTCTGTCAGATCTAAGTTTCTTTAAATGCAAGACTTCATCAAACAAAAAGACACCTGCCAAAAATAATGAGACAGGATCTAAGTGAACCTGCCCTCCTGTGCAGAAAACTCATGGAATAATTAAGCACGGCTGCTCTGGCACAAAAAGGGATAAAGAATGCTCATTTTACAGATCACTGGATTTCACTTTGAGCAATACAAAGAAATATCTATCCTTGACATGACACTCATCTCCACCCTTCATCAAAGTGGGACAAGCTCCCAAAGTTTTAACAATCATGACTTTCATTTTAAAAACTCTAATAAGACTACAGAGAAAAAGAAGAGATCTAGTATAGTCCTCATTATCCCAGTAGCTTTGCCTTTGTGGGGTTCAAGTCAATTTGCCTTCATTTGAGAATGCAGAGATGACCCTGCGACAAAGTATGAAAATGCTTTCGGATTATATGGAAGTAACACATTTTAAGGTATTAACATCATTACGCTAACAAACTGTATGTTATTTCAGTTTTCCCTAGGCTTATTAAAATAATGGCTTGTTTACCTTAAAACATATATATAGAAAAATTATTCTTTGTTACTCAGAGCAGTAAAAAGTGAGCAACCCAACCTAAAAGTTGTAATATTATTTAAAACTCTTATCGAAAATACAAGTCACACGTTATCAAGATACATGCTGCTGCACACATAAGTTTGTCTTTATTACCAAAAACAACCTGAAGCAACTGTGAATTATGGATAGTATTATGCAAAGAAGCATAACGTACGACATTAAACAGCTCTGCATTCGACAAGTATTCCCAGCAGATAGTTAAAGCAGCTTTAGGACTGTTCAGTAAAGTAACACCAAATATCCCACATAGGTAAGAACTAGACCTATTGTATACAAACTAAATATCCAAGAGTTATTTCAAATACTGCTGATGAAAGAAGGCCTATAACTATCTATTGAGACAGATTTTTCACTCCTAGCCTTCCCCCACCCCACTCCATCCCTTTTTGTCTTTTTTGACTGAAGAGGTTTCAGGGAAATTACCAGTCCTGCCTCCAACAAAAATCCAGCTCTGCCTCTACTTTACTAAAGTTCTGTTTAGCTTTGGTAGTTGCTGTTGAAATTTAATCTCATTTTTTATACCTGTAATTCCCAAAACATTTCATTACGCATTCAGAAGATAAATGGACATCCCAAATCAACAGCTATCATTACTGGCAAATTTTAAGCCTGAATTTCGAAGACCATGGCACGAAGTCTTGATCATGTTCCGAAAAGAAATTCATGCTTGAGCATAATGTACCACAGTACCACCTACCGTCAGGGTAACTGGGGATTACTCTGAAATAGAAGTCCTTTTTGCCTTGCTTTAGAATGTAAAATTCTTGCATATACTTAAGAGTACTAGGAAGCACTGCAACCCTATTAATATAGATAGTAAATAATCATAGTATAAAATTATATACAAATGCCCCTTAACTTTTGACTCTATACGTCATCTGCTTGATAAACTCATAAACTCAACTCACTTTCCATCAGCTTCTTCTCTCGCATTTTTATAAGCATATCATAACTTCAAAGGGATAGCATTGTGAATACCCATCTTCACAACTGCATAAAAAGTTCTCCTGTTTATAGCCCTGTACTGCTGACAGCAAAATATTACAAATATCTAGTTTCTTTTAATTAAATTCAACAGCTAGTAACACAGAAATTAATAAGTTTAAGACCAAGTAGAATGCTGAAGATCATACGAAAGTGCTCACTGTTTTACACTACTCTAACTTAAAACTTCATAAAACTAACTATAAAATCATTCTCTGGGATCTGATCCTTCAAATATGTAAGCATATAAATACTAGAATTCCAGTGATAGTTCCCAGTGTTTTCTATATGGATTACTTACATCGGTAAAGCCACTCCTATGCCTAGGTTTGCAGGACTGGATCCTATATCCGAAAACGAACAAAGCTTTTGTACTCTCAGTTCTCACTGTGTGAGGCCAATGATTTAACTCAGCCCTATGAATTTATATTTTCCCCATGGATTTTATAATGATTTAATTTATACATGAAAGGAAATTGAATGTTAGTCCTAGCATACCTCCAAAAAAGAATGAATAAAGGTTATTTTCGTGCAGCCAAAGTAAACTTTCTTGAAAGTCACTTTTGGTACCTACCACACAGACTTTTCATTAAAATGGGTACTGAGCATTTTACAATGTTGCAATATTTGCACTAATTGCGCAAAAAGTTATTTTATCATCCGAGACTAGTTTTCCAGGAAAAAGAATATGTTCTTTTTGACTGAGACATCATATATACAGATGAATTTAGAGATATAAAAACATACCCATTAACTACTCCCCTTTTTCATCATGAATAAAAAGGTGTTTCAGCCATTTGGGTTTGTGAAGTTCAGAGGGATAAGTCCCATATTCTCTTCAATTTCACATATGCATAAGATAGATATTTTCAGTTTGAGTTAGGAGAATTGAAGTTTGTCGTTTGGTTTACACGTGAACAGATTATGAATTTGCATATAATATATGCTGTGCTTAATATGCTGCAAATAAACTGTAGACTCTCTTAGATTCATACTCACTGACAAATCCCTCTCTATTTTTTTTTTTATTTATTTTTAAACAGGATGGGTGCCACAGCCTTTTTACATTGTGCTTTATCTAAGTAAGAATATTTTCCAAAGACATATAAACATGTAATTATACTTTCTTTTACGAATAGGAAACTAAAGAGAGTCTTATTTTAGCCAGGTTTAGTGACCCTATTCTGAGGCCCTGATCCTATAAACAGTTTTGATATTAAGTGGTAATCCCATTGAACTCAATGGATAACTCAGGCACGTGAAACTTTGTATGAGCTTAAATATTCGCAGAATCAGGGCTTGAGAGTGGAGGAGCTTAATGCATCCCAGTCTCCTTTGTAACACTGCTGCATATTTTCATTCTCAAGATTGCAAACCAGCTGCTACTAGAATAGTTTTAGAAAAGTGAACTGCAGATCAATGGCAATATGAATAGCAGAATCCTCACCTCTCCCCACTTAACCCAGCCATAAAGAGCTTAAAACACCAAGAACAATAGAATTCCGGGGGCAAAGTGGGAGCGGAGGAAAAGAAAAGCAATAAATACCAGGTCTCATCATTTTGCCATTATTTTCATCCAACTCAGTAATCCTATCGTCTTCTATTATTTCCTTCAGAGATGTATTTCTGCTTTTAATCACTATAAGGATACAGCTACCATAGTTGCTACTGCCCTTTAAAGTCCGTTGTGCCGCCGAAGTCAGGAGAGAGATCCTGTATCTACCCTTTTCCTGATACATTTCAAAGAAATGCGTACTCCAGAGCTCACTAGAGCCGTACAACAGTACAATTAATAAAACGGAAAAAAAAAATCAGGAAATTTTTCATTTGGCAAAAAGAAAAAAAAACGGAACCCCAGCTAAAATCAAACACTAGACAAACATTAAAGGGTGAAAGAGTGAAAACCCAAGCGTAATTTATGGGCTCTGCATCAGCACTAACTCGGACATGTGGCAGAGCCGACGTATTCCCTTGCACCAACAGTATGCACACTGCATACTAATAGGCAGCACCTCCCGAAAAACGAAACGGCAGTCGCCACGGAGCCGCGCGCCTCCGCGCCCGGAC